AAAAAGACAAAAAGATGGTGGCAGCTTAAAGACTGTTATATTTTAATATGAGCTTTTGGGGACAAGTCCACTTCCTCAGACATGAGAGAGAGAGAGAGAGAGAGAGAGAGAGAAAATAAGGTGCAAATATTTATACGTGTCATCAAAATGCACAGATTAGGGCTGGTTGGTAAGAAAGTCAATAGGTATTTAACAACGAGGTGATAGCCTCTTTGATATACAGGGGCATTCCACTGGAGCTTGTGCCCTAAAGAACTTTGATAATGTATATCAAAGTTATATACATTATAACAGTTAAGTCTTTAAGGTACCATCACGTTTTTGTCTTTTTTCTTTGTTCTTATATTTTATTTACCTTTTATTTTATCTTTTATTTACCATAAAGGTTATTTAAGGTTTATGAATAAGTGGCTCAGAAACAAAATTAATGACCGGAGAGATGCTGGAGAATTAATATTTCCCTCCCATCTTAGATTATATAGAATGTAGGCCATCAAATTGTGGTGGTTTTGTTCCAGACTTTTCAAGCCCAGGAAAGGGTACTTTGTTAAATATCTGCATTTGGTTCCAAGTGGGCATTTTCTGTACATCTCAGCTCCAAAAGAAGTTTAAAATCACAAAGGACCAGGAAATATTTGTTAAATTTGTACGCTGCCTTGATGCCAAAAAATAAAATAAAGCTCCTGGCCTGAAGGCAAGCAACAAGAATGCCACTTAAAAACACATTTCAACAACACGTAAACAAAGAAATTTTAAAAATACAGAAATAAAAAAAAATAAGGTAAGCAGTCAGCCAACAGCAGACTGGCTTAGATGCCAAAGGCCTGCCTCAATTTAAAAACAAAAATTGCTGCCCAAATAACATTAAACACCACTGCCTAGCAAACATCCATACATTAACACACTTATCCAGCATCTCTTTTTAATGTCATTTTTTTTTTTTTGGCAGGCTCAGGCTAAATGGATTTATTGAATTCCTGACTAATATAGCTGGGAAGAGGTATGGGCTCAATAAATCACAAGATGGGCCAAACCTCGAAGCTTTTAACCACCCGGCATGTCGGTAGCCTACATTAATCCAACTGGGAAACGCCCAGAGAGCGCTTTCAACATGATGGGGCAGTCTATAAGCAGCACAATTGGGTTGGCCATCTTTTCCCCCTCCTCCGTTCTCATGCATCTTGCTTTATAGAGAGAGACATAAGGGTGGGCCGTATGCCCTATTTTGTTTTATATGCAAGAGAGGGAAGCAAATCATCCATCTAAAGGACCTATTATTTATTTTCACTGCAGGCCTAAGATCCACCAGATGCAAATAAAAAAAAATAAAAATAATAAAGTGACTTAAGGATGGAGTCATTCACTGAATAAAGCTCATGCACAGGGTACTGAACCATCAGTAGAGTAAGGCACCTGAAGCTTTCGTCCTGAGTGCCAAAATTTTGGGAAGATAATACAGTGGTGCCTCGCTTAACAATTACCTTGCTAAATGACAAACCCGCTTTACGATGAAGTTTTTGCAATAGTGATCACAAAACGATGTTTAGATAGGGAAGTTTCGCTTGATGATGATCGGTTCCCTGCTTCGGGAACCAATTTTTCACTAGACGATGATTTTAAAACAGCTGATCGGCGGCTCTAAAATAGCCGCCTGCTGTGCAAAATGGCTCCCCGCTGTGCTTTAGGATGGATTCCTCACTTTACAGGGACCGAAAATGGCCGCCCCATGGAGGATCTTCGCTATTTCAATGGGCTTTTTCGTCGCTGGAATGCATTGAACCAGTTTTCAATGCATTTCAATGGGCTTTTTCGTTTCACTTGATGAGGATTTCACTTAACAGTGATTTCAACGGAACGAATTATCCTTGTCAAGCGAGGATTTGTAATTTGTTGCAAGAGCAATACAAACCACAGTGTGTAAACTGTCTCCAGCTACTACTCCTCAGTCACAACAACATGCCATCAATTCCGACTTACGGCAACCCTTTTTGGGGTTTTCTAGGGAGGGAATCTACAGATGTGGTTGACCTTTCGCTCCTTCTGGGGATGCCCTGGGACTGTGCAGCTTGCCCAAGGCCACCCAGGCTGGCTCTTCCCTCAGGAGGATCAGCAGGGAATCCAACTTCTGGTTCTGAAGCAAAACACCTTTAATTATTCAACTATCCAGCCAACTCCCCAGTAAGAAGGAAGTTTTTTTAAAACAGGCAAGCTTCCTGTAAAACCCACATGGTCTCTGCATGCTTCAAGCTCACACCTTCCACTCTCCCACATAAGGCAACTGCCCACAAGCCAAGCCTAAACAAAATGGCAGCCAAGCCCCGGGGTCAAAAGGCATGAGCACTGCTCTCTCTTAAATGGTAGCATGGTGTAACGGTTACTCAGCATAGTTGGATTTAAGAGCTCCAGGTCTTTGGTAGCTCTCATCACTGGGTGACTTTGGACCAGTCACCAGTTCCCTCAGCGCCGGCTTCCCTCCCAAACATTGCCTGCTTCAACTCTATGACACCAAAAAGGGTCTTCCCCCTGATTTGGTCATGGAGTCTCAAAACTGGGGACTTCAGTAAAGTATACCCTTTCTCCTCTCTCGTGTGGGGTGAGCAGAAGGGGTAATTATTTGCACCCCAAAACACAGGATGTAAATATTTTAAATACTGTACCTGGATATAAATAATTAACTCCTGCCCATCCTTTTATATATGAACCAATCCCACCTTTCGTGTTTCTCCCGAGCCCTTCACACAAGTACTCTCCGCTGTGGCACCATTAACCGTTGTGCTCCCTTTGTGTTCAGTAACAATATCTTTGCAAATCAAAGCTGCTAATGCATGACTGGAGTTCATTATCCACCCGTTTTCAGGAGCTCCCTCTCCATGGGTAGCCGACTGGATGAGGGAGGACCTTGAAATTAATGGCCAACCAAGGTGATCCATTAGAGATGTGCCAGGGAGGAAGGAGAAGAAAGCCGTAGGAGCTTCTAAAGGCAAAGACAGGCTGAGCAAGTCAGGAAGAAAAGCAGTCCGGTGGCGCAAGATGGTCCCTTTGTGAAGCATCAAAGGAGAGGCCCAAACAACAACAACAAAAAAGATGCTGGCTTGCAGGAAAGCACTTACGCCAATTTAAAGATGCAGATGAAAAAATGAGAAACAATGGTTCAAATTTAATCAGAATTGGAATGCAACTTGGCTAACACAAGGAAGACTGTAATCCCTCAACCTGCATGCCTGCAAGAGATTTGGCCATCCAGGTGATGCTCACGAAGACAGATGGGAAATGTCAGGATCTGCAATCTCTCTTTTACTGGATCTTTTCCTTTAAATCAAACTCCGGCTGGATGGCCCCTCCAATGGGGAGGGCATTCATAAAGAAAAATATTCTCTGTGCCCCCCCCAGCCTTCAAATAGAGGACTGTTCTCCCTAGAAAGGGCCATGGGGTCACCTTTGGAGGACCTGAACTCCAGCCCTGTGGATCCTGATTCCTGTGTTACTCAATGTCCATGCCCTCTGCTCATACATTGCCCCACAGCCGCTAGATATGCACTGGGCTTTTGTTTAAATTATATTAATTTCAGGATCAGCATGTGTACACACAAACTGTGTACGTTCCATACAAAGCCAGCCTTTTGCATTTAGCTCTTCTTTAGGGAAACAGGCTGGATAGCTCAGGAGAAGAGGTCGGGAGGAAAAGAGCCAGCCTGGGGGGCCTTGGGCCAGCTGCACAGTCCCAGGGTGCCCCTAGAGGAAGGGATGTGTAATACACTTCTGTACATCCTCTACCTGGAAATCCCTGGAAAGGGTCACTGTAAGTAAGAACTGACTTGATGGATCACTATTACTACTGATCCATCAAGTCAATTCAAACTTATGGTGACCTTTTCAAGGGTTTTCCAGGTAGGGTATACTCAGAACTGGCTTGCCGTCATCATTATTATAGCCGCCCCAAGTAGACATGGTCTAGAGGGGCGGGGTAAAAAAATCAAATAAATAAATAAATAAATAAATAAATAAATAAATAAATAAATAAATACATCATTAAAGTGGCCACCCTAAAGCAAACATGCCTCTGTGTCTAACAGCCACCTTGGGTCCTTTTTAAGAAAAACAGATAAAAATAAATAGTAAATAAATGATAAGCATCCATATCAAGTGACCTAATCAAAATGCTGCCTTGTCTATTTGTTTCAGTTGGGTTTCCCCCCCCTCTTATTTATATCCTGCACTACCATCTGCATATATTCCACACTGTAATTCTCTATTCACTTATTTGGGACTAAGTCCCCCTGTGAGCTGCTTTGATTTCTGGATAACCAAATGGAACCAGAAAAGAGACACTTGATAAACTACTTCTGAGAACTACATGTCTAGAAAACTTTAGGAAGATCACCCTCAATGGGAATCAATTTGGAGGCGCATGACTATCATGCAAAAATTGCAAAGACAGAAATGATTATAATATCCAAATAAAGTAATAACCAGACTGGGGCTCTTTAGCCTTCCTAGAACTAATGCCAATAGGGGGAAAAAATCAATAAATTTAATTTTTTCTTTTTAGTTTTCGCTAGAGGGCTCCCTCAGGCAGAGAGAACCCTCCTCCTCTTATAAAAGGAAAAAAAAACTCTTGAAGGCCCAATCTACAGAATTGTAGCCAAGAAATGGTCTAAGAAAGAGTTCCAAACTCACTGGTTTTGTGCATCTGGACCAGATACTAGAAAAGCAAGGTATAACAGAAAGATTTCACATAGAGCCTTAACCACTTAGGTATACCTTGGACAAAATTAATGTAGGGATCTGCTCCACAATCCACCAAGCTTATTTTTCCTGTACCTCATAAGTTTTAAGGGGGATAAAGTGGGGGAAAGGTTGGCTCTGGAGACAAAGCCAGAGGATTCAAAAGAGGTAAAGGACTTCCAGGTGGGGAAGATTCCTGAGGCAGTTCATGTTTCAGTTCAAATATATAACAATAAAAAATAGTACACAACAGGTCAAAAAAGACCACAACTCACCCCCCTCCAGCAGACACACACACACAAAAACTCGGCTCTAACAAACTTCTGCTTTTGCAGATTGAAGCTTATATAAGCTTGGGTCCCCAGGACCCCACCCAGAACTCAGCTGCAAGTCATTAAGAGAACCCTCAGGCTCACGAGGAGGGCCTTGCTCATGAGAAGTCATTTACTCCCGAGGAGACTTTCCATGCAAGCAGGCGTTCCTTCACGCTGGGGAACCCTATTTATTTATTTATTTATTTTCTACCCCCACCTTTTTAGACAAAGCCTACTCTGGGCGGGTTCCATCAAAGGTTGTAAACTAAAACAGTTACAAACAATTCAAAGCAATAGTAATTAGTCATGCTTAGTCGCGCTCAAGATGGGAAAACAGAAAATTATAACAAAAATACCATACAATATTTTTTATTAAAATAGAATAGAATAGAATATTGACCTGCATCTTTAGATACGGCCGCTCTGTGGGGTTAGGAGCTGACCCTTCTCCTTCATCTTCTAACTCCAGCCCTGCAAACTTCACGCCCCCACATATTTTTTGGGGGGGGAACCGAACTCCATGGGTCCTTTCATCGATCTCATTCCATCTGCCCCCTGGAGCTCCAGATTGTCTCAACTTTTGGAGTGGGTGTTCAGCCTTCTCTTTATTCTGCAAAACTGCAGGCAAAGAGCTCCCCATCTGAAGCCCAGATGAGGGTTCCCCTGGTGAGGCTTGGAAATATAGCTTGGAGGACAACACTTCCCATTATCCCCTAGGGAACAGGCCATTCTGGCTGGGGAAAAGGGGTTTTTTTGTCATCCAAAACTCTTAATGTTTCCACACTCCACTCCCTAAGGTTTCCTGTCATGGCCGTTGTTCACCCAGAGCTGTTAAAAGACCCAAATGCTGGAGCAGTAGAAAGAGGGGGCAGGTGAGGTCACCTCTGAGGAGCACCCTCAGAAATGGGTCCCTCGCCCAGTAAGTCATGTTTTTAATGGTCCCAGTGGGAGGTGTGTGTTTTTAAGGTACATATTTCCTCAGGAAAATACAAAGAGGGGTCAGGTGAGGGCACCTCTGAGGGGCACCCTCAGAAATGGCAGAGGATTGGGGCCTCAGGTGTGTTCTTCCTAGATGTGTATATAGAGGAAAACATCCTTGCATGCTTCACTCCCCTCACCATCCTGTCTCTCTCTGTGTAAATGAATGCCCAACTTTGCCCCCAGGCTCTACCAGCCATCGACTCCCATGCCCAGCATGCAGGAACATACAGCCATCTACAGTATATATATATATATAATTAGGCATTCAGTGCTATATGTATGTATGTATGTACTGTATGTATGCATTTATTTATTTATTTATTTATTTATTTATTTATTTATTTATTTATTTATTTATTTCAATGAAATCCTAATAGTAGACACGGGCCCTTCTCAATTCTCCTCCTTCCAAAATAAAAGGAACCTGGTTTGCACTGAATGCCTAATTAGCTCCCTATTAGCATTTAAAAAAAAACACAGGGAACAGATGTGGTCGTCCCTCATGGCCTAGGAGGCCATCTGTTATTTCCTCCCATCATCTGCATGCAAACGTGGGGCTCCCCTGTTCTATATTTAATGGCAACACATTGTGAGCCTTTCAGCCGGTGGAGAGCGCAAAGGCCATTTAAAGTTGGCACGTCCCGTGCTTTGTCGCGTCTGGCGTGGCTGAAACGTGGGCTTAATGGGCTTTTTTTAAAAAAAGGATCCTGCTGTCTTCTGAGCCTATCTGATAGCCATTTTCTCCAAATTAGACAGAGGGCCGGAGAATTAGAGGTGGGGAATCCTGTCGCTTCAGAGTCATGTAAGGTCCTCCGAAGTGGTTTCCGGGATCTCAGACACCACCACCAACAATAAACTCAGGCAGTGTAGTCTAAGAGTTAGGGTGGTAGGTTTGGGATGTAGGAGATTCCAGTTCAAGTGCCCACTGATTACCTAAGGCCAGTCTCTGTGTCTCTTTGTCTCCCTTTCAATGACAGGATCCTTGTGAGGATACAGCCGAGGAGGAGGAAATTATGAATTTTGCCCTGAGCTTCCTAGAGGAAAAACAGGATGTCAAGATAATAAGGGTATAATCAGGAGGCAATCTGGCTTGCTTTTCAGCTTGACCTAGGGCATCTTCCAGTGACCAAATAACATCCAGGAAGTCTTGAACCAACCCAACCCTGCCCCGTGCCCAATCTAGACCCTTTTTTGATCACCTATGGTTTCATTCTTAGAGTGAGATCAGACGGCCATATCAGATCATGCCGGAAAGGGTCACTTGGCTGGGTGTGATCTTCATAGGGACCCTTTAAAGCCTCGAACTAGGCTGTGTTTCTCTGTCAACAACCCAAATGTTTCTAAACAGACAGATCAGTGGCTATTATGTTTCATATCAATTTATTTCCTCCATTTATTTGTTTTGGGTAGATGCTTTCTCTCTCCTTCTTTTTTTGGCCGTGTGAAAAAGATGCCATGTTCCCAAGATCCAGTGCGGGCAGACGGTGAGCCCGGCAAGCAGGGGTGCTCTACCAGATTGTAACATGGCGTCGACAAAAGGCAGCCATAGGGATGAAATAAGGAGTGTTTTATCAAGCAACAGTTGGCAGAGGGAGAGTAAAGATGGTCTTAGCGCCAGTTATCGCATCTCCCCTTATCCTCTTTCCATTGAGATCCTAGAGGCAGTAAATATATATGAATGGTCTACTAATTTTGAATTTTAGCAGCTTTGTGTATCCATTTACTCGGATTGTGCTGCCAAAATCCTTAATTCTGTTTGATGCTGTTCTTTTAGACCAGGGGTTTCTAACCTTGGGTCCCCAGATGTTCTTGGACTACAACTCCCAGAATCCTGTCCCGGCATGATCAATAACACCCAACATCATCTGGAGATCCCAGGCTGGGAGCCACTGGTTTAGATAATGCAGGAGAATAGTGGTGTCCCAACTTTGGGTCTCCAGATGTTCTTGGACTACAACTCCCAGAAATCTTGGCCAGCACAGCAAGTGGTGAAGGCTTCTGGGAGTTTGAGTCCAAGAACATCTGGGGGCCCAAGGTTTTAGACAACAGAGCCTTCACACAGGTATCTATCCTGTATTGGGGAGAGTTCTATATCTAGAGGGGTGGCAACGAAAACTGTGAAAATAACCAAGTGCCCTGCCCCAAGGAGCTTACAATCAAATCCCAATGGGTGGAGAGAAAGAGAGGGAAATACAGGTGTTTTCTGAGAATAGATGTGTAAAGGAATGCAGCTAAACGTGTTTGGGAATTATTTTGAACTGGAGGTGCGCATCCCATGCATACACTGAAAATTAAATTCCAATTTTGAGCCTCGTACACCTTTAAAAAAAACAGCCGCTCCTCTCTTCTGCCCCCACCCTTCCAGAGACTTCTACTCCACCCGAAAGCCCCGCCCACGAATCCTAGTCTGCCCTCGGATTGGCTCATCTCGCCGGGAGCCCCGCCCCGCTTCTCCCAGAGAGACCTTGCCATTGGTTTCCCCCCTCGAGCGTCACAATGGCCCCCTCCTTCTCGATTGGCCAGCGGCCTTGCCTGGTCGGCCCTGGGGCTCCGCCTCCGAGCTGGGGGGGGGGAAACGAATTCCTCGGAAGCCCCTTCGTTACATTGTATCATGTGAGCCAGTCGTTACCTTTATTGCAAGGCGGGAGGGGAGGAAGGGGGGGGCGCGGAAAGAGGGCGCGAGGAGGGACCCGCGGGGGATCGGCATTGCCGACGCGAGCCGTCTTGCACCGGAACGAAGAGGTGAGTCTCTAAAAAAATGTATTCGCGAAGGCTTCTCTAAAAAAAATGTCATTTTCCTCCCCAACCCCAATGTTTCCTTCTCGTAATCTGCTTTTTCGTTTGTTCCATTGGGAACCCAGGAGGAAGTTTTAAAAAAAGACGGAGCTTGGCGAAGGTTTTGAGGGCAGGATCCGTCCACAGCCGGGGGGGTGGGGGGAGAGACTCTGGCTTGGAAAGACTGGTGCGGGGAGGGATGCTGGTGCGTGGCCCCCCCCCCCTTTCCCTCCCGGAGTAAATAAAATCCCTTTAGGGGTTTTATTTACTCCTAAATAAATAATTAAAATAATTTATTTATTTAGATTTTTGCTCTGAAAAGCCAGGAGGACCCGTTTATCCAGAGGGTTTTTTTTGGGGGGGGGGGCTTTTGCCCATCGCCCCCTTGCCATCCTTGGGGCAGTTCGCAACTGCGAGGAAGAACTGGAGCTTTCCTCTCTTTTTAAACATCCTTTCCCAAAAACCCCACTGCAGTCTCTATCCGCGGGAGCGAAGCTGAGCGCATCGGCTCTTTTAAAGTTTCAAAACTGCAGGCTGATTCCCCCGCTTCCCTGCCTAACTTCTCATCTAGGTCCTGTTTTTATGTATCATTATGCGAGGTTTATACCCCAAGGATGTTTTTCCACCTATATGTGTTACTTAATAACATCTCAGCTTCCCTTCTCCAACAGCAACATCCTGCCCCCTCTTTTGATCCTGTCCGATTATTATTATTATTATTGTTGTTGTTATTTGCTATTAATAATAAACACCCATTCTATGGGCGTTCTTGTTATCACAGTCCCACAAGGCTTTTGAGTTCTCGCTTGCTGGAGCAAGCTTACTCAGGCAAATTTAAATAAACAGGGCTAAAAAGGTTAAAATAAATATTTGTGAACAGGGAAAACCAGCGTGGGTCAGCTGGGAAAAGCAGCGTGGGACTTCAGAGCCTCAAAGATGATGTTTTATCATCTAAAAATGCGCTGTTTTGTTTTCTCTTCTGTATTCTTAATGACATCCCCTTGTTCTTGTGTTTGTATTGTTTCCACCGCCATGCAGCCTGTCCCTGATTTTTTTTTCTTGTACGGTTGTGATAATGAGAAGGCAGCTTTTCTTAGGGAATGGTTTTAGAAGGTGTCAAAGGGCAGAGCGCTCATCTGGCCTTGGGAATACCCTTCACACACCCAGAGCAATCTTAATTAGGGTCATGGATCCCTCCTTCCCGGTAATAAATACCTAGTTGGTCATTTGATGGTGTGATATGATACCCCCCCCCCAAGAGTGTGTTTGCCTCCTTTGTCTGCAGTGCTCAGACAAAGCTTTCGAACCCAGGACCCAGTGCTTTGATTGGTGGCCCTAAATCCTTGGAGATAAAACAAAGAGAGAGAGGAGGGGAAATCTTGAATGACCCCTGTGGAAGGGGTATAAATAAAACCCCAAACAAATATATATATAAAACCCCAAACAAAAAACAAACAGCAAACTTTCGATGCTAAACCCTCTCTTTCAAGGTTGTGCATTCGGGGCTCATGGACAACTCATGTGAATTTAAGGTTAGCCGTGTGAATTTGGGACATTATGAACGGCACATGAGTTTGGAACTGCCTACAAGAACTTGATGCACAGCCTTGAAGAGGATGGTTTATTTTCAAAAGCTCACTGTGTGTGTGTGTGTGTGTGTATGTACGTGTACACACACACAAAATAGTGAGCTTTTGAGCTCCCGGAGTTTGGTCAATATATATAAAGGCAGTGAGATGTTAAGGTTTGTAATAAAACTAGATAGATAGATAGAGATAGAGATAGTTTTATTACAAACCTTAAAACAGGATCTCACTGGCTTTATATATATTGACCCAACTCTGGGAGGCAGTGGAAGACAGGAGGGTCTGGTGTGCTCTGGTCCATGGGGTCATAAAGACTCGGACAGGACTTACGACTAGACAACAACAACAATAAAACTTTTCCCTCTCCCCAACCCATTCTTCCCCCCCCACAAGACCCAGCATCACAGAGTCCTCTCCTTAAAATTCAGCGGCAAACAATGGGTTATGCTTCAAAGACCAGGCTGATAGAATAATGAACTGCGAGAACTGGCTTTTTTTTTGGGGGGGGGGGAACCTCTTCTGTTTCTTTATCATCCCGAGGAGAAGCAGCTGACTCCAGCTGGCTGGGATGAAATTGCTGGCTTTTTCGGCTGTCCTTTTCAGGGTTGCGCATTAGCCTGCTTATTTCCAGCCGTGATGTTCACACACACATGTACACCCTAAAATCAAGTCATTGTGTCACCTTTAGACCATTTTGGGGGGAATACTATTGTTTCCAAAAAATAATATTACACAGCATTATTTGTAAATTATCTTAACTTTGCTTCTTTTATGGGGGGGGAGGGGAGAGTGTTGATTTCAGTGGTGCACTTCTTTTTTAAAAAATGTTTTCTACAGTGATTCCTCTCATCCAGATGTGTTGCTATGTCTCTAATAAGAGGCTTCTTATGAAAATCTCACCTCTGCCCTCTCATTGGGAGCCATCAATGGGTAGATTTTAGTTGTCAAGCCAAAAAACTGTGTTTTTCCAAGTTCTTCCCTTGTCAAAACCATGTGCTGCTCTTCCATACGGACAACCCCCCCCCTTGCCTCCCGGAGTGCACAAAAATCTAAATATGGATCTGAGTGGGTGTTTTAGGGTGGGGTGTTTTGCCTTGTCTGGTTTGGCCCTGTAAGGCTGAGTCCTCGTTGATGAGGAATTGGCCGGGTATCCTTGTCTTTCCTTCCAACTTGATAGCCAGACTGGAGAGCAGAAGTTGTTCTGTAACACCAGGTGTAACCTTCTCCCAAAAGTGGAGCACAATTATAGAATATAATAATCTTAGAATTGCAGAGCTGGAAGGGGCCTTATGGATCATTGAGTCCAGCTCCTGTCAAGGAGACACAGTGGGGGAGGCGGAGCTTGGTCGCAGTGAAGCCAGGAGCTGCTGGGAACAGCTCCTGGGAAAAGCTGGAATGGCCTGGTCTGGGGTCCCTCTAGAAAGGGAGGGACCGAAGGGGAAACCAGGAGAGGTTTCCTTGAACCAGTTAGTGAGCCCAGATGGTAGAAGATTGGGCAGCAACCTGATTTTTCTTCCCTCTGAAAATTCACCTGAGCACAGATCAGAGACAGGAGCCATTTTGGCAGAATAGCTGTGATTAACTCCACCCCCATTTCCTGAGGAGAGAACAAAAATACAGAAGATACACAATAACAAAGTAAGCCTTTTATTTATGAATAACCTCATTAAGATGTAAAAGAAACTAGAGTGAAAATATTTGACTGAAAGAAGAGAGAAGGAGCAGTGAGTCGTGCTTGCCAGCCTGCTTCTTCAAAGCAAAACTGACTCTTCAACAGCAAGCTCTTAAACAGCAGGCTGGCTCAAGGTCACAGACAGGCAGTGAGACTGAAAAATTTTGTGTCTTGATCACTCACTCTAAACCCCCACATCACTCTGGCTGTCTCCAAAAACACTGGGCTGCCTTACCGTGTTCTCTCCAAGATAGCTAGCATTATTATTCCCAAACGACCTTGTTGAAGGCTGAAAGATGCTCTCCTTCTCCCCTTGCCATGTGCCCTTATGAAGAGTTTGGAGGCATAAAAATCATCTCAGGTAACCCTTCTCCCTCAGTAGGTGCTTCGTTTGGACTGATTAAAGCACTCGTTGGGCGCCTCCTCTCCATCATTCCAAAGCAATTTGCTGTTTCATCGGTTTCTGAAGCCATAGAGTCATGAGCAGGTGGAACAAGATGGACTGGAGCACACCCAATATGAGGATATAGCCTATGATGAAGGAAATATCATGGAACACAATATAGTACTTTGTTAAAAAAGCAACCCAGAAAAAAATGTAAGTTTGGTAGTTTGGATAAAACCTGATCATGTTACAGGTGTAGGACAACAATCCATAGTCTATTTAAAACAGGAGGATTTGTGTTTATGATCCTGCCTAGGTGTTAAGATAATCAGAGGAGGCTTTTATCTCGGGCAAACAACCCTCTCAGGTGCACTTAATGGGGATACAGGAGAGGCCCTTCTCTGTGGCTGCTCCCAGACTTTGGAACTCCCTCCCACTGGAGGCCCACCTGGCCCCATCTTGGCTGTCCTTCCGCAAGCAGGCAAAGACCGTTGTCTTCAGGCCTGCTTTCCCTGAGTGGCTTACCATCTAGAGAGGTTTTAAAATGAGAATGTTTTCATTTTGTTGCTTCTCAATCCGTTTCAATAGTGCTTTTTTTACTTAACATTCTTGATAGCGTAATCAATTAATTTAATATTTGAATGACTTGCTGTTTTGAGCTTCAGTGTTGTCTTTCAATGATGTCAGCTGCCTCGGTTCTTAGGAGAAAGGTGGAGTAAACATATTTTAAATAAATACATAAATGCCCTCCGGATGTTTTTTGAGTGCCACTCCCATCATCCTTCACAGCTGCCGTTTCTAGCTAGATCGGGTGTCAGGTGGTGATTTACAAAGAGAAAAATCAGGATGTTTAAATGTATTCAAATGATAAATACTAAAAAATTAAATACTGTACTAAAAATAAGATAATATCCGGGAACCCCCATATTTTTGAGGGTTTGACGAATTCTGCCACCTTCTAACCGAAAGAATAGTGGTAAGGTAAGCATCTGCTTAGGAACAATCCTTCATGGGCTGTGTAGGCATCTGTCAGTCTCGAGGGACTATATCATGGGCTGTGTAGGCATCCTTCAGTCACGAGGGACTTTGGTAACATGCTCTGAATGGAGGTCTTGGACCAGCATCTAGTGTGGCTGAGAAGGCCAATTCGAGAGGGACAATCCCTTCCACACTGAAGAGAAATACAATATTGTCCCCTGTCCAGCTCCCTGATTTTGCTGTTTTTGGGACTGCCTCTTGGCCTCGGCCTGCTGGACAAGGGTCTCTTCAAATTGGGAGAGGCCATAATGCGCCGCCTGCCTCCAGGCTGAACGCTCAGAGGTCA